AAAGTGCCTACTGTACAGGCTTCACAGATACTGCGGTCTTTGCAGAGGCAAGGTTGTGTTGTAAAGTGCCTACTGTACAGGCTTCACAGATACTGTGCGTCAAGCAAGTCTGTCTGCACTTTTTTCCCAACAATATGTGCCCACTTTGCGTCTGGGTGTCACATTGCGCTCACTTTGTGTCTCTGTCACATTTTGGAAATAGTCACAATATTTTGAACTTTTCACTGTTATCGTACCTGATATGGTAATCTGTGATCAGTGACTTTGATGTTACTATTGTAATTATTTTGAAGTGCTGCAAACCATGGTGAACTTAATCCATAAATTCTGACTGCTCCACCCACTGGCCATTCTCATCCTTTTCCTTTCCTCACACACAACAATATTGAAATTAAGCCAATCAGTACCTCTAGAATGGCCTCTTAAATATTCAGGTGAAAGGAAGAGTCACATGTCTCTCACTTTAAATCAAAAACTAGTAATGATTCAACTTAGTGAGGAAGGCATGTCGAAAGCTGAGATAGGCCAAAAGCTAGGCCGCTTGGGCCGGATAGTTAGTGAAGTTATGAAAACAAAAGAAAAGTTCTTGAAGTTCTACTCCATTGAACACACAAGCGATAAGAAAGTGAAATAGCCTTATTACTGATATGAAAAAAGTTTCAGCGGTCTGGATGAAAGAGCAAACCAGCCACAAGCTTGCCTAAGACAAAACTTAATCCAAAGCAAGGCCTTCAATAATTCCCTTCAGTTCTGAGAGGGCAAGGAAGCAGCAGAAGAAAAGTTAGCAGAGGTGGATTTTTGAGGTTTTAAGGAAAGAAGCCATGTCCGTAACACAAAAATGCAAGGTGACACAGCCTGTGCTGACGGAGAAGCTACAAAAGGTTATTCAGAAGATCTAGCTGAGCTCATTAATGAAGGTGGCTACACTAAACAAGAGATTTTTTTTTTTTTTTGAAACAGTGTCTCACTGTGTCACCTTCAGTAGAGTGCAGTCATGTCACAGCTCACAGCAACCTCCAACTCTTGGGCTTAAGCAATTCTCTTGCCTCAGCCTCCCAAGTAGCTGGGACTACAGGCGCCTGCCCCAAAACTGGGCTGTTTTTTGGTTGCAGTTGTCATTGTTGTTTAGCTAGGTTCAAACCCACCAGCCTTAATATATGTGCCTGGCACCATAACCACTATGCTATGGGCACCGAGCCTAAACAACAGATTTTTAATGCATACACAATAGCTTTCTATTGGAAAAACATGCTACCAAGGACTTTCATAGCTAGAGAGAAGTTAACACCTGGCTTCAAAGGATAGGCTGGCTCTCTCAGTAGGAGCTAATGATACTGACGATTTGACAGTGAAGCCAGTGCTCATTTACCATTCCAAAATTCTAGGACCCTTAAGAATTATGCTAAATCTACTCTGCCTGTGTTCCATAAATAGAACACCTAAGCCTGGATGGTAGCACATCTGTTTATAGCACAGCTTACTGTTTTAAATCCATTGTAGTGACCCGCTCAGAAAAACAGATTCCTTTCAAAATATTATTGCTCTTTGACAATGCACCCAGTCACCCAAGAGCTTGATGGAGATGTACAGGAGATTATTGTTTTCATGCTGTTAACACAACATCCATTCTGCTGCCCATGGATCAAGGAGTAATTTTGACCTTCAAGTCTTACTATTTTTAAGAAATACATATTGTAAAGCTATGCTACTATAGATAGTGATTCCTCTATAAATAAAGTGAACTGAAAATCTCTTGAAAGGATTCACCATTCCAAATGCCATTTAGAACATTCAAGATTCGTGAGAAGAGCTCAAAATATCAACAAGAGGAGTTTATAAGAAGTTGATTCCAACTCTCATGGATACTTTGAGGGATTCAAGATTTCAGCGGAAGAAGGAACTGCAAATGAATGTGGTAGAAATAACAGAAGAATTAGAAGTAGATCCTGTATGACTGAGTTGCTGCGATCTCACGATCAAACTAACGGATGAGGAGTTTATAGACAACCAAAGAAAGTGGTTTTTTGAGGTGAGATGTACTCCTGCTAAAGATGCTGTGACCACAAAGAATTTAGAATATTACATAAACAGTTGATAAACCAGCAGCAAGGTTTGAGGGTATTGACTCCAATTTTGAAAGAAGTTCTACTTTGGGTAGATTATATCTAAGAACATCGTATCCTACAGAAAAATCTTTCCTGAAAAGAAGATTCGACTGATGTGGCAGACTTTATTATTGTCTTATTTTAAGAAATTGCCTCAGCCACCCCAATTTCAGCAGCCACCACCCTGATCAGTCAGCAGCCATCAATATTGAGATAAGACCCTGCACCAGGAAACAGATTACCAGTCACTGAAGGCTCAGGGGATTGTTAGCATTTTTTCACATTAAAGTATTTTTAATTAAGGTTTGTATGTTTTTCTAGGCATAATTTTGCACACTGAATAGACTAACTTTTATATGCAGTGGGATACCAAAATATTTGTGTGACTCACTTTATTGCAATATTCTTTTTATTGCTTTAGTCTGGAACCAAACCTGCCGTATCGCTGAGGTGTGTCTATAATGCCTGACATAGTAAAGTCTCAACAGATGTTAGCTATTATGCTTATTGTACATATAAGATTGTTTTATCTATAACACAGGCTGTAATCTGAGACTATTACATACCACATGAGGCAAAATATTCAATGTCTCTCCTTGCCTCTTTTCCTATAAGAATTCTTTATTGGGGCTCGGCGCCTATAGCTCAACCAGCTAAGGCACCAGCCACGTACACCTAAGGTGGCGGGTTCGAATCCCCAGCCGGGACCCGCCAAACAACAATGACGGCTGCAACCAAAAAATAGGCCAGGTGTTGTGGCGGGTGCCTGTGGTCCCAGCTACTTGGGAGGCTGAGGCAGGAGACTCGCTTGAGCCCAGGAGTTGGAGGTTGCTGTGAGCTGTAATGCCACGGCACTCTGCCCAGGGGGACAGCTTGAGGCTCTGTCTCAAAAAAAAAAAAAAAAAAAGAATTCTTTATTGGGATGGCCTTACCAGAGGTGGCCTAATTCCAGCACCTAGTGAATTTAATTTTCTTTGGCCCTTCCATATTTGCAGCTCTTCATACCTAGAATCAGCACAATTATAATGGGAAGTCAAGCAAAACATTGTTTTGCATAAAGAGAGGAAGGCAGAATGTGAGATGGCGTAGACATCTGTGCCTCTGCCCTGGGCCAAAAGCAGAGTGGTTATTTGCTGCTGATTCGGCACCCCATCTGCTGCCTTCTCCGGTGGTGAACTCCTTCCTTTTCCCCTCTGTTTAGAGCCCCAGGGATGATGAAGTCAGAGAGGGAAGGTTGGAATGTAAAACATCTGAGGAGAAAAACAGGACAGAGGTTCAGGGAAAGACAACAGAATGATGAGCCTCATTCTGCCTGTGACCCAGTCGGGTAAACGCTAGGTCTTCTCTGCCAATGGCAATTTTATGAGTGTTTCAAAGACTGTGTGTCATTGGGTGTTGGGACAGAAAAAGGAAAAAAAAAAAAAAAAAAAGAATGTGAGAAGGTTAAAAAGCACCAGCTCATTCTAATTAATCTCCATTTTTCTGCTTGAGAGCTTTTCTGACATCTGACTCAAGAATATACTAAACTTTGTTTTTTTAACCCTTTTAAACTTTTTCTTTTTTTAATTCTTAGTCCAGGCCCTCAGAATAAGACCTTTATTTTTATCAGCAGTGCTCTAACTTTTGAATATATCCTTTGTTTTGTTTTTCCTGTAGCATTTAACTTATTCCACTTGCCAGTTAATTAATTTACAGACCTAAATTCCACTAAAGTGGTTTTCTTATATTATAGTAATATCTTCTACCCAGTCTGAGAGGTATTGAGTAGGGCTTTCTATGACATGGTTATCTGAAAACCACTCATTTAATGTTTAGAACACAAAACATCGCACGCTCCAGCCTGAGCATGAGTGAGAGACCCCATCTCTACTAAATATAGAATAATTAGCCAGGCCTGCTGGTGGGCACCTGCAGTTCTAGCTACTCCAGAGGCCAAGGCAAGCTCAATGCCTATAGCACAGTGTTTACAGCACCAGCAACATGCATTGAGGCTGGCAGGTTCGAACCCGGCCCAGGCCAGCTAAACAACAATGACAACTGCAACAAAAAAATAGCCAGGCGTCGCAGCAGGTGCCTGAAGTCCCAGCTACTTGGGAGGCAGAGGCAAGAGAATCACTTAAGCCCAAGAGTTAGAGGTTGCTGTGAGCTGTGACGCTATGGCACTCTAGCCTAGGGCAGCAGAGTGAGACTCTGTCTCAATTAAAAAAAAGCATCACACATGCACAATGGGTATCAGTCTGTAATGTTGTAATTTAACTGTTTGATTTTGAATAGTTAAGCAATAGAGAAATGAGTGCCCCAGAAAGGCATGTATTGAGTAAGCAAAAGTAAGCAATTAGGGGGAGGAGCCAGGGAGAAATTGCTTAAGGATCTCTTTACGTTTAATGAAAAATACTTTTAAAACATTTTTACTTTCAAAGCTTAAGGTTTATTTTTACCTTAGATTGATTCTTTTTCCTCAGTTATGATTTCCTGATGATTATTACCAAGTTTGTGTATAATTTGAAAGAATGAAAATTTTACCTTAACATAAAGTATTTGGGGGAGGTATTTTTCATGCTGCTCAGCTGCTGTGTTTTATTCTCATGTAAATTTGAGGTTATTCTTCTAACCCCTCATTCAAAGGGACAGTTGACTCTAATTCTGCCTTAAGCTTTGGTGGGTCTTAATAATAATTCAGTGCATATGTAGTTTTCATTCAGTGCTTTAAAAAAAATACCTCTATTTTTGCTTTCCAGACTGATTTCGCACGATTTAGTGGAACCAATGTGGAAACTGACTTTGTGGAGGTACCATCGCAAATGCTGGAAAATTGGGTGTGGGACATTGATTCCCTCCGAAGATTGTCAAAGCATTATAAAGACGGAAGCCCTATTACAGATGATCTGCTTGAAAAACTTGTTGCTTCTAGACTGGTCAACACAGGTATGATTGGAATTTTAGAATTGCTGGCATTTTCTTCTATAGAACTTATTTTCTGGGCTGTGACTTGTGACGGGCACCTGTCATCTCAGCTACTCATGAGGCTGAGGCAGGAAGATTGCTTGAGCCCAGGAGTTTGAAGTTGACACCACGGTGCCTGGGCAGCAAAGTGAGACTGTGACTCAAAAAAAAAAAAAAAACCCAACTTATTTTCCATTTAATAATATGGTACCCCACAAGTGCTAATATAAGTAGTGAAAAATACTAAATACTGTATATTAGAATCAGGAATCCTTGGATTATGTCTAAGAAAAAACTATATCTCCTTTTAAATCTTTTTTTTTTGAGATGAGCCTCAAGCTGTTGCCCTGGGTAGAGTGCTGTGACATCACAGCTCACAGCAACCTCCAACTCCTGGGCTCAAGCTATTCTCCTGCCTCCGCCTCCTAAGTAGTTGAGACTACAGGTTCCACAGCACACAGCTATTTTTTTTTTTTTTTTTTTTGGTTGCAGCCATCATTGTTGTTTCGCAGGCCCTGGCTGGATTCAAACCCAGCAGTTCAGGTGTATGTGGCTGGCGCCTTAGCTGCTTGAGCCACAGGTGCCGAGCCGTTCCTTTTAAATCTTAAATAAAATGAGATATGTTGCTTCCATTTTGTGATGAATACTGCTGGAATTAGTTTCTGAAATCTATGATGTTGACTTACTGGAACACATAGTGCTCTCCTCTGCAAGACATGCTCAAACATCTTATGTTATTAGGTCTTCTGACCCTACGCCAGATTGTTTTGAGCAAAGTTGATCAGTCTCTTCATACCAACACGTTGCTGGATGCGGCAAGTGAATATGCCAAGTACTGCTCAGAAATTTTAGGTGTTGCAGCCACTCCAGGTACGTAAATACTATGAGTTGAGTTCATTTTTCCCTGTGAAGCTCAGACCATTCTAACACTGCAGGGAGGCAGAGTTTATCAGACACATTGCCTAATTTGTTCCTGATTTCTGTAATCAGGCCATGACTTTCAGATGAGCATACTATGTCCTTATGAGTTACCCCGTTCAAATGTGCTTAAAGGAAAGGTGGCTCCAGATTCACAGCATTTTAGTGTAATCAGGCGTGAGCAGTTGGCCTCCACCCCAGAGCTGAGGGAGCCCTTTGCGTTTGGCTGTACCCTCCTTGCTCCTCCCTCCCTGGCTGTACCATGCCTTCCCTGTGATTTTCAGTAAGAAATTGGGAAAGGGCATTTTTAGAAAAAAGCACTTTTTCCTTGTTTCTGATTCAGATTCTGAGGTTAGTTTAAGCATTTGACTATAAGTTTCTAACCTGAGATTTATGGGCTTCATTTGTGTGTTCGCACATGTGCGTGTGTGTATGTGTGTGTGTGTGTATGTGTATGTATGTGTTTTCATATGTTTGTATTTTAAACCAACATACAGTTGTGCATTTATATGTACGTGATAAGATAAATTTTTTTCACCAAGGAAATTGTTACTATAATGAATCAGCCACATTTATAGAGATAATAAAGATAAGAATGGCCAGTTGAGTCAATCTTTGCTCTTTACCTACTTTGGTGATCTGTTTATAGTAAACAAACCATGGAGCAACTTTATATCTCAATCCACTTTGACAAAATCTTTATACAGTAGCCCTTTAGATACATTGAATTGGTAAAGACTTCTTTTTTAATAATCATCAACTTAAATCCCTTTTTGAGACATTTTAGATTTCAAGAGGTATGACAAAGGATAGGGTTGATATTATTTTTTAAAACACAGGGGTATTTAAGGGATAAGAAGAGACTGACTTCAGTTCTAAAACACTGAGCTATCTGATGGGTGTGGACAAAGCCTCTGAAACTATTGTGAGGCATTCCAGAGCTTAGGGCCGAAACCAGCTCTGAGGTTGAGCCATCTGTAGGAGAGGAGTTTACAAACTTCTTGGCTGAGGGCACACATAAACCAATGAGACTGTGTGATTCACTCTGTCCTCCCACAGGTGGACTCCTTAGAGGGAAACCTTAGCTACCAGATAAAGTGATAATTAACACTTGCTATCACATTGATTGTAATGTATCTTTTTTTTAAAGGCACAAATATGCCAGCTACTTTTGGACATTTGGCAGGGGGATATGATGGCCAATATTATGGATATCTTTGGAGTGAAGTATTTTCCATGGACATGTTTTATAGCTGTTTTAAAAAAGAAGGGATAATGAATCCAGAGGTATTGTATTTTTTTTCCTCTTTTGTTAATTTTATAGTTGCTTCCTCCCCCATTTACTCCTAGTGTAAAATATGTACTACTCCTAGATTTTAGAGTAAGAAGTTTAGTAACAGCTTTAACTTTTTAAGTCTTATATTTTCTCAAATCATCATACATCATTAAGTTGCCGTGTACAAGGGATTAATTCTAGTTCTATAGGTTTAAAAAAAAAACCTACTTCATTTTCTTGCTTATTAACATTCCAATATATTGCATAATTTAAAAGTTCAAAGCCTTGTTTGTGCATTTGAGAATTTACAGCTGCTAGTTTTGACATGTTCCATACAATGTTTTAGTTTTATAGTTACAGGAGGTTGAGAAAGAAAGGTAAACTCTCTCCCAGTGTCATGGTCTCTGTTTTGATATTCTCTACACATTTCCTTTGTACACTTTCTGTGAGAGGCGCTCGTTTCTGTGGCTGGCACACCCTACCTACCACATAGTTTGCAGCCTTAATGTCTGTAAGTAACTTAAGCTGCTCATTAACCTGAGCCATTCCTTTCTATGCACAGTGAATTGACCGCCAGGTGGCTGCCAGACAAATCCTCCTGAGTCAGAGCCCCCAAATCCCCGTGCTCTGCTCACTCAAGTCTCAGCTGTCATGTTATTTCTAAGGCTGATGTATTTTCTGAAATCGCTATCAGGCTGTCTCTGTTTATTTCAACCAATTGATTGGTTCTGCAAGATTTTTGTTTGTTTTTGAGCTAGGGTTACATGTATGTATTGAAAGACATTGACGTAATTCAGATCAGCATTCCCTCCCTACTTTCCCCTGATAAAACATTTTCAAGATAGTATCATTTTATACTCACTGTTCTTTCCAATCATTCCATTTCCCATCATACCCCACCCAGTCCGTTACTACCCTGTAAGCCTCCTATTACGTGGCCAATGATTTACCATGGTCAGCTACTGACTGTTCTGATATCCTGATTACTGCCTGAACTTCAGTCAGTGCTTGGTCCCAGTTCCTTTACCATCTCTTTTAGTGATGGTGCTCTTAGAATTCATAGCGCTCTGGAGGAGGTTGTATGCCCTTCTACAAAGTCACGCTCCCCAACCTGAACTGGACACCTGGACACCCTGTAGCCTTACTCCTTTCCTCTTACTGCTTCCCTCCAAGTCCCCACCACCTCTCTCCTCTGTCAGCAGTCTCTCTTCTTTAATAAAAAATAAAGATTGACCAGGTATGGTGGCTCATGTCTATAATCCTAGCACTCTAGGAGGCCAAGGTGGGTGGATTGCCTGAGCTCAGGAGTTCCAGACCAGCCTGAGCAAGAGTGAGACCCCATCTCTAAAACTAGCTGGGTGTTGTGGCAGCCCCTGTACTCCCAGCTACTCAGGAGACTGAGGCAGGAGGCTCACTTGAGCCCAAGAGTTTGAGGTTGCTGTGGGCTATGACACCACAGTACTCTACCCAGCCAGGGTGACAAAGTGAGACTCTGTATCAAAAAAACAAATTAAGATAATTTCAAGTGAGTACCTTCATCTTTCTCTCTTTCTTTCTTTCTTTTTTTTTTGAGACAGTCTCACTTGCTCACTCTCAGTAGAGTACCATGGTGTCTTAGCTCTCAGCAACCTCAAACTCTTGAGTTCAAGTGATCCTCTTGCCTCAGCCTCCCAAATAGCTGGGATTACAGGTGCTCACTACAACACCCAACTAGCTTCATCTTTCTTTCTCTGTACTTCAGTACTTACCTTCTTTTCTCCCATCTCAAAGGAGATATCTCTAATTCCAAGCCTTATTATTGGTTTGCCATCTTGGAAAAAAGTTTGCTACTGACTTTGTTAACCCCCGTCAGTGCTGCTACTCTGTTCATCCCTCACAGCCTGATTTCTTGGTGTAAGACAGTCTTTTTAAAGTTTCCTGGCTTTTGCCTCCACCAACTGAATTGGAAAGTTACCACTGATTACCCGGTCGCCACTTCCCAAAGCCCTCATTTACCTTTTTCTTCTCCTTGCTTCTTGTTCCTCTCTCTGTTGTAGCCCTTAGCTCAGCAATCACAGTCTTTCTTTACTTCCCAGTACTCCCTGCGTGTCAAACAAGCGAATGTGCTCCTTGGGTCTTTTTACCTTCCCAAACATGTTTATTCTGTTTCAACTACCTAAAATATAAGCTTTCATTGTCTATATCTCTAAAAAGTCCTATCATTCTTAACAGCCCCACCTAAATAATCACATTCTTTTTTTTTTTTTTTGAGACAGAGCCTCAAGCTATCCCCTAGGTAGAGTGCTGTGGCATCAGAGCTCACAGCAACCTCCAACTCCTGGCTCAAGCGAGTCTCCTGCCTCAGCCTCACAAGTAGCTGGGACCACAGGTGCCTGCCACAGCACCCAGCTATTTTTTGGTTGCAGCCGTCATTGTTGTTTTTGGCGGGCCTGGGCTGGATTCGAACCCGCCACCTTAGGTGTACGTGCCTGGTGCTGTAGCCACTTGAGCCACAGGCACTGAGCCTAAATAACCACATATTTGTGAAATCTTCCAGATCATCTAAACCAAAAGTTACCCTTTCATCCTCTGAACATAAGAGTGGGCTTCATGGGGAAGGGCTTTAATAAGAATTTTTTTATGTTTGGAATATTTAATAAAACTACTATAAGGTGAAAAAAATCATAAAATATTTTATACCATAGAATCTAAATTTTTACTTTAAAATGTGTTTAGAAAGCACGTCAAAATGTTGTTAATTGTTGTCTTTGTGGGTGGTGAGTTTATGAGAGATGAGAAAATGTTTTTCTGGACTTTTTATGGAGGTTTTTTTTTTTTTAAGATACTGCATGGATTATTTTAGTAGTTAAATGCAATGTTTTAAAAAGACAAAAGTTCCAGATATGTAAAGATGTGATCATGACATCTTATTGGCCCTTAGTCCTGGAGGCTTCCTGATATAATTGTGCATAACCTTTTCAGGTTGAGCCTTCCGTACTCGCTGCCTCTGCATCCACGTGATCCACTCACGTGGCCACATCCACAGTACCATCTGTCGTTTTACCTTTTCTCTTCCAGCTGTCAGGGCGGCAGCCAAATTACTGATCCCAGTGGATCCCAGGGAACTTACAAGTCCAGTAGAAGCAATCCTCGCCATCATTCTTCTCTGTACTTCCTTTTATTCTCAAGTTTTACAGCTTGGCAGGCAACCATGCTACTCTTAATTTGGGCAAAGGGGCTAGATTGAACTTGGAGAAAGCAAGATCCTAACAACTTAGAGTTAAGACTTGTGATGTTAAAAACAGTTTTCAGTTTTACTAAAATTCAGGATTCAACAGTGCTGTGTATATATCACTAGACGTTTTATGCCAGAAGGCTGGTGTTAATCCCTTCCACTTCTATTTTTTTTTTCCTGCTAAATGCTCTGGAGTGTCATGTCACTTCTTGCTCCCCTTCTGTCAGAGCAATAGTGGACTTGGCTCCTGAGGTCAAGGAGAATCCCTTTGCTCCTCACCCTCATACCCTGCCCTGGGTATGACACTGTCATCTGCATGGTGGAGGATACTGTGCAGCTCTTCAGGTCACCAGTTTAGTCCCTTCTACAGTGTACTGTTTGTTTGTTTTTTAGGGGGAGTAGTTTTGTTTTTTAACAAATATTTGTTCTAAAATAACACCTCACAAAATTCAAATACCCACTTATTGAATAATAGTACTTTGGAACAACGATCTTATTCTACAGATTGTTCTTAGAACTATGTTGTGATAAATAGAAAAATATCATTCTTCAAAGCAGTAAACCATACACTACTTATTTTATGCCATAACCAGAGTGTCTTGTTAATAGCCACCACTGAAAAAGATGGCATTGCCTTGGGTAGTTTCAGATTCTGTGCATTTGTTTTAGTCTCAGATGTCGTTGGTGGTTGGTTACTTTACCAGATAGATACACAGAATGAAAATTTGAATTTTTATGGTGTAAAATAATATTCAGTTTGATCTGAAGTCATGAGAATCCGAGCAATGAAAATATGTCATGTAGACATTATTGTCTCATCCTCCCTAATATGTGTTTGGATCATTTTAAGAAGAAAGCAGGGCTCGGCGCCTGTGGCTCAACTGGCTAAGGCGCCAGCCACGTACACCTAAGGTGGCGGGTTCGAATCCCCAGCCCGGACCCGCCAAACAACAATGACGGCTGCAACCAAAAAATAGCCGGAAGTGGTGGCAGGCGCCTGTGGTCCCAGCTACTTGGGAGGCGGAGGCAAGAGACTCGCTTGAGCCCAGGAGTTGGAGGTTGCTGTGGGCTGTAATGCCACGGCACTCTGCCCAGGGGGACAGCTTGAGGCTCTGTCTCAAAAAAAAAAAAAGAAGAAAGCAGGATGGCCCTTCAAAGAGTCAGGACCTGCTCTGTTAGTCCCCAAGCACTAGAGAGGCTGAGTCCTGAGAGATCACATTTTGCTGACACTATTGGTCATGCAGTACCGAAGGCCATCTGCAGGCCTTCTCTCTGTAACCTCTTGCTGTCCTGCAAAGCCCAGGGTTCTGCACTGAGGACCATTTCAGATCTTAGCAAGCAGAACTGTAGACAGTGTGCTGCTTGCTGGGAAAACAATAATAGGAAGGGTCAGCTATAAACCTGAAGCCTTCTGGATAACAAACAGTAGCAGTGGGATAGTCGACGGTACAGTTGTTTTCATTCTGTTGTGAGGGTCTCTATCAAAGTATCAGACCTGGCTGCTTACCTGTAGTAGCCTGGAATTCTGCTACCTCTGGTTTGTCTGTAATTTTTTATATTATTTGTAGTAAAAAGATATCACATCTTACCTTTTACTAAGTTAAATATTACTAAAATCTTTGTCTCTAGAAGTACATGGAGGAATTGTCTCATTATCAGATGTATTTTATTTTTCATTTTCCCAATTGTTCTCTTAAATAACTATGGAAGGGGAACTACTTTGGGATCAACACTTTTCCAGCAAACTCTAGGAGCTATTTAAGGATATTTTAAGGTCACTGATTGTAATTTCAAAAT